GCTGATCCTGCAGGAGCCCAAGTGCCAGGATGCAGTGATGGATTATGTCCCCCACCTGCTCTGTGCTCTGCTCTTCCAAGTGTCCATTAGCACAGAGCAGGTGCCAGAAGAGGTCAACACCTTCTGGAGGGGATGCCAGGAGCAACATCGCCTTCCCAGCCACCCCAACAGGTGATTCATCCCAGTCCTCTCTCCCTCCCATGCCCTCGGGGCTGGGGCCAGGGCTCCCGGCATGACCTGGGCTTTGCTCTACACACAGGTTTCTGGTACAGACCCTCAAGGCCCTGCTCTGCCGCCTGCAGTGGGACAACGAGGTGATGTCAGTGGAGCGCAAGCGTGGCTGGGACACGCTCCTCTGTGCTGGCACCCAGCACTATGCAGTGGGGCTGCTGGCCAGGTGAGACACCCTTGTCCCTGCTGCCTCCATCATCTCTGCCCTGGGTACAGCACACCCCACACAGCCTGCTGGGAGAGCTTTGCCCACCCTGCTCAGGGTCCATGGTTCCTTCTTTCCCCATGACAGGGAGATGCGCCACGTCTTGCTCCCTCTTTATTGCCCCATGGCAATGCACCTGCTGGGGATGCTCAGCAGTGTGGACCCTTGTTGGGAGCTGCCTGCCCTGGCCCTGCTTGTTGAGGTGAGCCTGATGGCCAGCGCTGCCTGGCCCGCCTGCCTGCCCCTCTCTGCCCTCTGGCAGCCGCTGCCGGGACGGTGCCTGCGCCCTGTGCTGCTGCCTGGGCACAGCCCTGGGCGGCTCTGGGCTCCTGCCACCCGGGCACCCATCACTGCTCTCTGCCTTCCAGGTCCTGGACTATCTGGATGGGAGTAGCCGTGACAGGGTCCTGTGGATCCTGTCAAGGAACCTGCAGAGCCAGTGCCCAGAGAGGCAGCGCCTGGCTCTGAGAGGCCTCCTGGTTCTTGCCGTGGATCCCTCAAAGGTGAGAAGGGCACACCCGGCTAAAGCCACACTGGCATTGGGGAACACAGTCCCTTGGCCTTGGCTGGGCTTTGGGAGCTGTGGCTGCTGCTCCCAGCTCTCCTGCCTCCCTCTTCAGCTGCCTGCACCCTGTAGGACAGGCCTTTGGCCTCTGGGGCAGCAGGGTGGGGTTGCACCACCAGAGAGCTGTTGGTGGGGCAGCTGTTCACAGACTGACAGCAC